TGGTACTTTGGACTCAGATGGCAGAAGAAAGAGATAATGACTTCTGATCATGTGTAATCCTTTCATCTTCTAGTGATAATAAACCCTTCAGAAATCTGATCATTGCAGAGTTGATTTTTTTTAATGTAAAATATGCACTGTGTATCTTTTCTCACTCACCAGCAAGGGTAGGCACAATTATAAATGTATCTGTTACATATGATGTTGGATTTATCTGTTGTTACATAAGATGAAAATAGTTAAGTTTTAGTAGAGTTCATCTGGCCTCTTGACATAGAAGATTCTATTTGCAAATAAAGATAACAACGATAGATACCAACTAGTGAAGATAATAAGCCTAATTACAGAACTATAAGTGGAAGTCCTGGCTACAGTTCATTTTAAATTCTAGAAGAAAACATAGGCAGAATCCTACATGATATAGATGCAGGAATGTTCTTCCTTACTATCACACCCTTTGTCCAAGAATTAAGGTCAACAATTGACAAGTGAGACTTCATGAAACTGTATGGGTAAAGAAACAATCAATCAGGTGAAGAAGAAGCCTATATATGGGAGAGAATCATTGCCAGCTGCACGTTTAACAGAGGATTAATATCCAGGATATATAGAGAACTTAAAATACAGTAAAAAAAAAAAAGAAAAAAGAAAAAACACAAAAACCCACCACTACCACCACCATCACTGCCACCACCGACAACAACAAAATAAACAAAACCAAATGACTTGTTTGGAAAATGGGCTTGGGACTTGAAGAGAGAGTTCTCTTTAGAAGAAAAAAAAATTGCTTAAGGGATATTTTTTAAACATGTTCATCATCCCTAGCAATCAGGAAAATACAAATCAAACCAACTGTGATATTTCATCTTAGCCCAGTCAGGATGGTAAAGATCAACAGAACAAGCAACAACAAATGCTGGAGGGATGCAGGGAAGACAGTTCGATTTTAAATAAAAAGTATTCAATGCAAAATGGCTTGAGATGAAGGGGTTGAAGAATGGTATAAAATTACTTGTGACTCCATATTAAGGGAATATGGAATCTACCCAAGCTCTCCACTCTATCCAAATGGGTATGGCTAACAGTCTACTTAAGAATTATTATGTCAGCTACACAAGATTCTGCAGTGCAGTTTCAAAGTTTTTTTGTTGGAACCTCAGAGTTTCTGGGCAGGGCCCTGACACTCTCAAAAGTGAGAGTGCCATGCCATTGTGTGGGTAGTTGAGGAGTCTGGGCTGCTTGCTTTCTGTAGGTGATTGAATATTACTTGTCTTTCCAAAACATTTCATAATGTTTACTTGTCCAACTGTTAGTTATTAATCATCTCACTTTGGATTTTTCTTATTTCACATTATAACTTTTTGTGTCATTTGGCATTTAATTACTCTCACTTTGTAATATACAAGTATTTCCTCCCTTGAGATTTTTCAGGGGAACAAACCTGTACAGGAGAGATTTCTTTTTCTGAATTGGTTCCAAGTATTTTAACGAATTAATCTATAATGAACACAGTTTCTCCCTGATGCTATGACTAGTCACCTGTTCAAATAAAATGATGCACTAAAGTAGAGGAATTATTTATCTTTTTTAATGGCATGGGGTACTCTGGAAACACAGTGTGTCCAAGCTAGATACATGTAGTTGGTATCTAGTCTTCAAGGTATCATTTTGTCTTGTTATATTCATCATTACTTATAGAAGTCTGTGGACAATATCAGTTTTATTTTGGGATGCTTGGTGATACAAGATGATTTTCTTTTTTAATTAGAAGATAAGAATCTTAAGATTTTATTTCAATGAGTAAAGGAGTGAAGAAATTATCCTCTAGTTAGGAGAAAGTGCCACTCAGTTTTCTATGCGGCTAAATCTCGAGCCTTCTACAATTACATAAAATGTTTAATAACTAGACAAACAGCTTGTTACTTTAATCCTCAAATGAAGATTCTCACTTTGTTTCATCACAATAGAAGAGGGAAAAATTGATATAAGTACAATTTTAAATAAATTTTTTTACTATCCATACAGAGTTTGAACATTAGTTTCTGCTAATTAAGTTACTGTCTCACACTGATATGTGAATGTAGCATTTTATTTGATTATAGCAAGTAATAACATTAAACTACCTTTATAAAGTAAGTATATTATATTTGATGGTCCTTATATCTCTCTTCATAAATGTATTTATCTTTCTATACTTCATTTATACTGAGTAAAGGAGGCAATGATTTTATCTGACAAGATAAGAGTTTTGCAACACCAGACTAGGAACAAAATGTGATATTCTTGTGTTGTACTGAAATAAAGCAAAGCTTTAAAGGTCAGAAAGTTTCAAAGAGGTACCAAAACTAGTAGAATAAATCTGGAAAACACAGAAGCTCATTGGATGATACATAATATATTAGATTAATTTTTTATACTGACATGTTTATTTTCCACAATGACCAATAGCACATACTATATATTATATAACTAAATATATAAAACACAATTATTTGTTATTTATGTAATGGATATATTTTACATGATATGTTAATAAGTATGTACTTATACATATTTATGTTAGAAAATTTAAATTATATACACTAAATGTGTTAGAGTAAAAGGGGAATGTTTTTAATGAGTATTTTGGAGGCTTGATGTAGGCATTCATATGTGAATCTTAAAATGATGGTTGGCCAGCAAGTTAGTACATATACATAAAGAAAACCGTGATTGGAGAGTTTCTTATATACTATTACCAAGATTCATAAAAGTGTTATATTAAGGGCTACCATGTCTTAAAAATTGTTATTTTCTAGAAAAGCTTAACAGCTAATGTTAGATGCCTCTATGCTGTTCTATATTGTTTGTAGTATAAAATCTTTGTACATGTAAACTATATAGCATACTAGATAGCTTGAGGGCTCTATACTTGCTATTTAATTGAAACACTCTGGAGACTGGTCCTCTTGAAATGGAGCAGTGATAATCAATGAGACTAAATATGTTTAAATGTTCAGGAAGTAAGATGTGAAAACATGTCTTGAACACAGAATGCTTTTACTCTTAAGCTCTTCAGCAGCTGTGCTGTGACCAGCTTGTGGCTTCTGCTGTCCAGACCTCCTGAATCAGTACTTGACACTAGTGGGAATGATACATGTAAAAGTTGCATCATGGCTTCTAGACAGTTGTCAGACTTTCTCTTAAGGTTTCCTTGCTACCCCAGTTAATATATCCATGGCAGAGGATCTTCTTGATTGATTCTAAACAAAATTAATTTCTTTACAGGTAAATATTGCCAGCATTTACTTTTGATAAAGTAGGTAATCCCTAAAATATCATTTTAATCTATCCGTCAAATGGTGTTCATGAATTACAAGATATACTGCTATTTACATCCTTGGCTGTGAAAATCATTCTTACTTAGTGGATAGTGATTGGCATGGTTTATTGTCTTTGCTCAGAGTAAACTCTTAAAAGCATTGGTAATGTCAGTCATAAATCGAGATTTATACTGGATGCTAAGTGGTGCTTTAGTTATCTCATATATCAAGAATAACAAAGTGTTGGGGGTACATGCTAAGCATGTTCTCCTGGAGGAAATGATGAAGAAGCAGCATGGGGAGGTTTGTTATGGTTCCAAAGTTACCTTCATATCAAGTTAATGAACCTGTGGTTGCAACATGAGCTGCATCACTCCAGACTCTTCATCATTCACCACTGCCCTGTGCACTGCCTTCCAGTACATCCTGGTTCCTCTATAGATAACATTCAATTAGAGCAACATAGTCACTATTTGGTCACGGTAGTTATCAGATCCTAATTACTACCAAGTAGAATTTTTCAGGATATGGAAGTAAGCCTGAAATCTGTTACATGACTGTGCAAATATAAAGAGAAAATAAATCAGTAGAATGGAAAGAGAAGGGGCTGCAGGACTATACTTGGAGATTGTTTAACTGGAAGCATTTTGAAATAATTTTCCTTAGTGACTGACTTTTGGTGTGACAACAGACATTTAGAAAAGGACTTGGGTGCTGGCTTTCCCATGTAGGACATGACATTTCCATTTTTATTTTGATGCTCTGGGCTTGTCTGGATTTCTGCTTGAGTACTTTTTAAGCAGGAAGGTTTGTGTATAACTTATAGTCTGTTCTCTAGTGCTCTACCATTTTCTATTTTCTTCTGTTTCACTGTTCCTCTCATTTTAAGGTTTCTGAAACATATTAGCAGCCGATGAAACAGTTGCTAACCGTCCTGGGTCAAAAGATTTCAGTTAAACTGTATTTGATCTCCTTGAAGTTATTGAATACTGTAGTGTTATGATGCAATGGGGAGAATTATGACAACTACTGGAATTCTTCAGAGAAAGAATCAGGTGGAATCACAGTTCTGGGCAGAAATGTACTAAGTACTTCTATAGTTGTTTGATGTTGCTTAATGTTCAGTCTTTTAAAATTGAATAAGATATACAAGAAAACAGAAGTCCCTTTTAGATGTGAAGATCATGTGTAACATCATAGCCATAAGCTGATTGCTCCTGAAGTTACAGATCATATTTTAAAGATATTCCCCACACCACAACCCCCTCCAAAAAGTTACTTTATGGTAGTTGATAAATTTAAACTTTAATGATACTAAAGAGATTAAGCTCATATAAATCAGGAACACATTCACTATTTGGTTGCTAACAACTATGCTAAAATATAATGTATTTTAAATAAAAAGCTTAAGTGTATGAATGAGGATGATATAGAGATACATTGAAATCTTGAGATAGACTCCAATTCTTATATGCTTAAGAAAAGTATTTTAAGTGAAACAGGATCAACAGAAGATGTGCTCAGCTCTTGGTAATGGTAATTTAGAAATGTTTATTAAATGTCCACTACAGGTTCATGACCAAAGCAGATAAGGACAATCATGTGCTCCATGCCATAATGGACCCATGGTCATGTACACAGCTCCATGCCAGGCCTTGTTCTTATGTGTTTTTTCTCTGAAGCCTTATGAAAGGATCAATGGGCCAGAACAACAATGTCACAGAATTTATCCTCCTAGGTCTCACTCAGGATCCTGCTGTGCAAAAAGCATTATTTGTGATGTTTTTAATCATCTACATTGTGACAATTGTGGGAAATTTGCTCATTGTGTTTACAATTATTTCCAGTCCCTCTTTGGGCTCACCAATGTACTTCTTCCTTGCCTGCCTTTCACTCCTGGATGCTGTTTACTGTAATACCATCTCACCCAAGTTGATTGCAGACTTACTCCACGATAAAAAGACCATCTCCTTCACAGCTTGTATGGTCCAGCTCTTTGTAGAGCATTTATTTGGTGGTACTGAGGTCTTCTTTCTGGTGGCAATGGCCTATGATCGCTATGTGGCCATCTGTAAACCACTGCACTATTTGACTATCATGAATCGACGGGTCTGTATCCTGCTATTGGGAGTGGCCTGGACAGGAGGTTTTGTTCACTCTCTGCTTCAAATTCTCTTTGTTTATAACCTTCCTTTCTGTGGTCCCAATGTCATTGACCACTTCATGTGTGACATGTATCCATTATTGGGGCTTGCATGCACTGACACTTACTTCATTGGTGTCACTGTGGTTGCCAATGGTGGAGTAAGCTGCATAGTGGTCTTTATCCTTCTCCTAGTCTCCTATGGAATAATTCTAAACTCTCTCAGGACTCATAGTCAAGAAGGGAGACGTAAAGCCCTCTCTACCTGCAGTTCCCACATCATGGTAGTTGTCTGTTTTTTTGTTCCCTGTATTTTCATGTATGCCAGACCTGTTTCTAACTTCCCCATTGATAAATCTATCTCTGTTTTTTATACTGTTATCACTCCTATGTTGAATCCTTTAATATATACTTTGAGAAATTCAGAGATGAAAAATTGCATGCAAAAACTCTGGCATAAAATTTTAACTACAAATAGAGTAAGAAATTATTAGCTGTATACAATCAATTGGGAATAAATTCTAACAAAGGCTTATGTTGTCTACTCAATAAATCTTAAACATGCTTTTCATTATATGAAGCCCCCAGAAAAGTAGAATACATTATCCTTTGAGCTTTTATACTAAATTTGCATGTATACATGTGATGTATTTTGATCAAGTCTACAATTCATTCTCTCCCATTCAACTCCCCCTCTATCCTTCTCTTACCATTTTTCCTTCCCAATATCATGTGTACTTTTTAAAAACCACTGAGTCAACCTAAGTCTACCAATATGTGTATGAGTGTAGAGTCATCTATGGAGTATGGTATGCTTCAAGAGCAACAACTCTGAAGAAAACCAACTCTTCTTCCAGCACTCACCAATTGCCAAAAGATTTTCAGCTAGATGGGCTATTTATAGCTCAGTTTTATTCTATGTCCATTTAGCAAAATAGTAGTAGTAGGTTCTCTCATAGTTCTTATGTCCTTTCTGGGCAAAGGTTCTTGGCCTAGTTAATGCTAAAAATAAAAATGTAAGTAAATATTCACATTCATGCCATGAAAGAAAGAAAAAAAAAACAGCCTGTACTTGTATCGAATGATGAATGGCTTATGACAAATGTGGTACATACATACAAAGGGATTTCATTAAGTTGTAAGAAAAATGAAATTATGAAATTGGCACATAAATATATAGAGCTTAAAATAGTCATTCTGAGTTTAGGTAACACAGGCCCAGAAATAAAAAGAGGCATGTTCTTTTTCATGTGCACCTTTAGGTATATGAGTTTAAATTGAATTATCCATAAAAGTCAGAAAATTATTCAGAGCAATTGGGGAATTTCAACTTAAGAAGATAGAATGTGTGTAGTATGAATGGAGAAAAGGAAAAGATTAAATGGAGTATGGTATGATATAGGGTAGAGGAGGTAGTATGGGAAGGGATAAGTGACAACAAAAGCCTTTAAAAACTTATGTAGAAAACTACTAATGTAGATGCTCCCTAAAACATATACATATGTACAGACACATATATAAATAATTGAAATGAGAATACTCTATAATGCAGCACTGGTGGTGCACACCTTCAATCCCAGCACTCTGGAGGCAGAGACAGGCAGATCTCTGTTAGTTTGAAGCCAGCCTGGTTTACAGAGGAAGTTTTAGGACAGTCAGGGTAGTTACATAGAGAAACCTTGTCTCAACAAACAAACAAACAAACAAAGCAGGAATGTCTTATGATGGGTATGGGTGGATGAGTGGGTGGACACTATAGACTATCAATTAAAATCCTATGCCAGTAAAGGTTACTTATTTTTGAGTTGTTAGTCAGTGAGGTCCCATACGTCCCTGAAACACTGCAGACTATTACCATTGTCCTTGGTCAACTTTCAGAACTTTATCTTAGGATCCTAAAGACAAGGCATACTTGAATCATAGACCATGGATAAACCAAGATGATACTAACCTGGAAGTTTCATCCCTATTGGCTAGCTTTCATACTGGAAGGCACTATGCTTACCATCAGGAGAGGAAAGTATCTTATGACACAACGTAAGTAAGAATAAAAAGGATGGAAAAGGGGACTGGTTGAATGAAATGGAATCATCAGGGCCCCATATCATAGAGATTTGAACTCAGATATCACCATCCCTATCAATTGCTCAGAACTGTAGCCGACTATCTTTTCAAGAAATGTCAACTACAACAGATTCTTCAGTTCAAGTTCTCTTTTCAGAAACCAAGAGCTTCTTGGCTAGATTCTCTCTCCTATGCCAGAGTAAGGCTGTACTCTGCCAGGTTATGGCTGGGCAGGGAGACAGGGTAAGCTTCTTTTAGACTGATTTACACATTTATTGCTTCTCCAAAGTGTTTCATATTGTGTAACAGTTCATTGATGATTTTATCTATAATCTTTTCATTTTAACATTACAGCATTTTGGTCTAATCGATGAGAGTTTGCTGATAGCTGCAGAAATATGAAATGGGAACTCTTCTGGCACTGACAAGGCTGGCCCATTAAAGTCAGGGGCTCTGGTGGAGGTTGAAGCCAAAACATGAAGTGTTTTGGGGTTATTGCCTTTTGAATGTATGAGTTTTTTCTGCAGTGGATTTCCTGTGTGCTCTTGTAGCTTTCCCATTTGTTTCATTTCCCAAGAACTTATAACAGTGTGATTGATTATTTATTGGGCATAGTTTCCACTTTACATTTGGGGCATATGGATAACTTTTCTTTAGCTGTGGGTGAAAACAGTTATACAAGCAAATAACTGTTTCCCACAACCAGGTCTTTGTTCCTTTTCCAGTGTAAACTTAGAGGTCTGCCTTCCTGAAATTACCTTCATTAGCAGGCATTTGGTCAGTGTTAAGCGTCCAGGCAAAAGTATCTCATTTAAGATATTCTCGGACATCCAAGGACATAGAATTACAACATGTCTGAATTTGTTGATTCACAGTCTTTAATAGATAAGGAACTAGCATGCCCTGGGCTTACCTTGCCAGCAGATAGGAAAATGCTGCCGCAAGCTAACCTCACCCTGACAAATTATTAACATTTGTACTCATTTTCACCTTGTTTTACTAATTAGCTTATTATCTAACCACACTTAGGAATGCAAAATTACACAGGGATACCCTTTTTCCCCTTCTTAGATTTACCTAATTGATTTAAGGTCTCTGTCCCTCTCATTTGACCCTGTTGCCATTAATAGTTCTCTGAGGCTTTTTTAAAATATATTTAAAGCCATTTATTAGTGGAGAATTCAATATAAAAATATTGAAAAATCACACAACCCAACTGTAAGAAAATAAATAATCTGCTTAAAATCAACAAAGGTTCTGATCAGAAAATTCTCAAAAAATATAACCAAATATAAGAGATACAGAACATATTGTTCAACATCACCAATTCACTAATCATAAAGATAATACAAATAACAAAACTGTAATAAAATATTAGTGTGTGCTTTAAAAAACTATGAACAACATAGTAGACAAAAATGTCTATCCAATATAGCAAATATTTGAATGTTGTTGGCAATAAATTAATATGATAATTATAGAAAACAACATATACAATTTTCTCAAAAATGAGAAAAACCATGAGATTTGGTAGTCTCCTTTAAACATGTCTATCCAATGGATATTAAATTGATACATCAAGATTTCTGTATAATCTCATTATTTTTAAATTTTTATTATTATTATTATTTAATTTTATAATTTAATTTAATTTTACATATTAGCTACAGATTCCCCTGTCCTCCTTCCTCCCATCCCCCTCCTCACTGAGGCTTTTATAAATCACACCCACCTTGAGTCATAAAGAAAGCCTAACAGTCACTGCCTGGTGTAAACTCTTATCTGCTTTTATGACCCTAAAAGAATTCAAGCCTTATGACCTTGCTTTGGCCAAAGAGTTGCTGATTGGATGCGTATAAAAACTGGAAACTTCAGAGACTCAGGGTAGAACTAAGGTAGAACAAAGAGAGAATGGCAGGGAAATGGATAGATAGGCAAGAGAGGAGCTAAAAGAGATGAAAAGAAGCTGTATATTTAGTTAAAGATTACTTAGGACAATTAAGTGGATAGACTGAGCATGGCGTGTATAGATTTTTGATACCCTCATCTTAGTAGATTCCTAGCTGGTTGTAGATTCTTCCTTGGACTCTGGGAGAAAGCTTTTGGGGATGGACCCTAATAGCTTTCATTAAGATTTTCATATACATATACAATGAATTTTGATCATATCCTCTCCATATTTCCTTCTCCTAACACTCCCAGAACACTATCTGAACATTTCTCCTCCCAACTTCATGCCATCTTGTTAGGGAATATTATTTTAAGGTGCATTACTTTTGTTCATTTTGCATTTGTAGAGACAAATGCAGGATAAGTTAAGTTAAGAAAAACTGGCTAGAAACTAAACCAAGCTAGGGCCGGGCATTCATAAGTAAGAATAAGCTTCCATGTGTGATTTATTTGGGAGCTGGGTAGTGGCCCCTGAAAAAAGAGCAAAAACAAACAACATTCTCTGTTTAATTCATTGATCCAATTAGTGTTGTTCATGTGTGTATGATATAGGGCCATCCTCATTAACTTTCAATCACAAATAGCTCCTCAGTGGGATGTGAGACCCAGAATGTAGACTGACTTGATCTTGTAAAGGTCTTGTGTAGGTAAACCTGGCCACTATGGGTTCATGGTTCAGTGACTATATCATGTTAGAATGACAATGATTTGACATAGTTCTCCCTGATTGCTAGCACTTACAGACATTTCGTCTCTACTTTGACTATGTTTCCTGAGCCTTGGAGGGGGAGGAAATGTGGCAGAGATGAGCCATGTAAGGCTAAACACTCCATAGTCAATTATTCACTTTTCTTTGCTTAGTTGTGGATCTCTTTAATAATGTTTGTCTACTGAAAGGAGAACTTGATTTTATAAGGGTAAATTATTGCACTAGTATATGGGTATAGAGTTAAGCACTTAGAAGGCAGTTGGATACCATATCAATTTAACAAAATGGTAGTACTAGGATTTCCTCTAGCATCTATGACCTCCTGTCCAGCCCCATGTACTTGGCTAGGTTCACAGCACTAGGAATGAGCTCCTTCTTCAGGAGTAGGCCTTCAGTCCACTTTGATAGCTGTTTGTTACCTCCAAGAGTTTAGTACCTCTATTATACCAATGGACTATCCTGATTTACCAGTCACTATTTTAGGATTACTGCTGTGTAAGGGTGTTGATAACTTTTGTCCTTCAGTGGGATGCATAGTACCTTCTGATACCAAGAAAGGGAAGTAGTGACCCTTTAGAATGTGTAACATTATAGATTTCTCATGTCCCTTGGCATTTAATTACTCTCCTTGTGAGTAACTCAGCACCTTTCCCCTAGAGATTGTTCAGGAGAATAAGCCTGTCCAGGAGATATTTCATTTAATTTTCTGCCAGGCCTTCTAACAAGTTCATTTATTGGAAATGTTGACACAGAGCCACATGCACATGTAAG